ATAATAATGTATGTTAGCAAAGTACGATGGTGATGATGATAGCAAATATATTATAATGAAGCATCATCTGTAAGTTGCATATCAACAGTGATTTGTGCGTATTTTTAGGACTAAGGAAATATACGAAAGTATTTAAAATTAATCAAGAACAAGCATTTACCAGCTGAATCCATGGAAATTTCACACATATTCGAGTTTCTAACTTCTAAAGTATTTTCAGATGGCACACTGGTGCAGACTTTGCCAGAAAATCAAAATTCAATTAATTTTCACATTCAAAATGTCACAGTTGATTGGATCACAGTTAACATGTGGGTATGCATACAGAGGCACATTTTATCACTTAGAACACCAACAGGTAGATATGTCTTAAGAAATCAGCTATGTGTTCTTTTATATAAAGGATAGCAGGAAATGGTGAAATATCTCGGGTAAAAATATATATCTGAGGTAATCATAAGCCTTAAAGTAAACTTGATGTCTCCAATTTTTTCGGTAATAAGCTTTACTTATTTGTCTTTGTCACTTACATATATTGATTTTATAGTACACCCATTCATTCTCTCATTTGCCTCACAGTGTTCAATGTATAGCAGTATCACATAGATATATACGAACAGATTAGAGAAACTGACTTACTAAAAGGAAATATTAATCAGGTGATACATATCCTAGATAGAGTTAAGGATTATAGACTTGGTTATATTTAATTTTTATGGCGAAAAACGGCATAAAATAGAATTTGATATCATTATCTGAAATTGTAATAGTTGATTATTGAAATTTTATATGAAGTTCGGTACCTCTTTTATCATTTCACCCCAAGCAAGGCAACAAAGCTACTAAGACGCGGGGGGACTCTTTGAAAAGGATTATTAAGCATTATTAAGGAGCAAGAACAATAAAACAACAGGAAATAATAAGACAGAATATAATGACTGACTTTGCATTTAAATTTTTGAAGATCGAATTTGACTAGAAAGCAAGAAACGAGAAGAGAGTTCCACAATCGAGAAGTGTAAGAAAATAACCTTTAGCATAGAACTTCGGGATACCTAGTCATTTCAAGTGTAACATGATCGGATCTTGCCGCCAATCTAATACTGCGTTTGAAATCATAGAGTCTAGGAACCATAGAGGAAAGTAATATTTATTTTGAAAAATACAAAAATGTGGCACAAGGCCAAAAGGGGGGATAGGGGAGGGTTGATTTCAATCTGCCTTATCTTAAACTTAGTTAGCGACGATCACTGACCTAAACATACTACAGCATTCTTTACACCAAAACACATTCTTACTTCCCATTCTTAATACACCTACCGTAATATCTCAAAGACTCTATGAAGCCCTAACTAGTTCCCATATATACTATTTATCTGTGTAGCATAGAGGAAAGTTCATCAGAACAGCTACCATGAAAGTATAGAAAAGTCACAGGGAAACTACATTACGGCTATGAGGAAGTAACCAGTAACATTGCAGATTCTTCTTTGGATTCTATAAAGGATCTCTAAATATATAGAAGGAGCACCAGACCATATGTGGTCAAACCACGGACGGATTCTTATAAATAGACTTATAAATAAAAGACTTATAAATATGTAAGACAGATTCTGTCGAGAAAAATGTCTAGCACGACGCAGTGAACCAACTTTTGTAGCAGCAGATAAAAAAAATAACCCCTCTAATCCCGTAGATTGACTAAAATGAGCAACTTTAATCACGTTCTGGTTCCTAAATAATAAAGACATTTCATAATTATCAAGGCTACTGGTCACTCAAAGCTCAAACATGAGGTACCTGGTACCTATGTTAAAAATGTAACAACAATGAACTTAAGAGTGTTTTTTTTGCAGAATATCAACAGAAAATAGCTTTTGATTTGATTGTGTACCATACAAAAATGTAGAAACATCATTGATATGTTAGTGTTCTTTAGATATCAATGTTAACAGCTGACGTTTCAGTCTGCAAAGATTTATAATATTTGACAAGTTCTTAAACATTCTGATCACAGCCATTTGCTTTATGACACATATACTGTACCTGGTCCTCGACTACAAAATTCAGGTATCATGTTCACAAATGCAGCACTATAATGACCTCTTCCTTTAATTTCTGTTTATTTATCGAAGTTCATTGTATTTTAAGAGAGTGGCCGAAATATATTTTATGGTCACTGCCTGGCAGTTGGCCAAAAGTCAAGATATAACTTGATACTTAAAAATTGTCCAATCATTGCTAGCCACTTTAGAGCCAAAAAGCTAGTGACATACGAAAATAAAAAGATTCGTATATACTTAAAAATATGTTAATATTACAGAGTATGCCTTTGGCTACAAGATGCAACTAGCATTTCTCAGTATATAACGTTTTCGCTATATCGTTCTCTGCCAGAGTTTGTTGAACAATTAAAATAAAAAATGTGACTGGCATTCACACTAGTATTCATTCTTATCAAAAAAAAAAAAAAAAAAAAATCTGTATTAATTTTCTTTCGGTAAAAAATGCAATTACATGTTAATAATAATAATAATAATAATAATAATAATAATGAAAAAGATTGATTGATTGATTTTTCAGTATTTTGCAACAATTTCAGAAGAGCGCGATTTCCAGACAATAAAAATAAAAAAAATGAAAAGAACAGTGTTTTAAAATATTTAACAATATTTTGACAGTATTTCTGTCTTCTTCAATCGATACATACAAAATCAGTACCGAATAAATAAACTGTAAACTCTTACAATGACTAAGCCTTTGCACTAATTCCAACTTGAAGATGACAGACATGCAGTCGAAATATTATTTAACATTGTTAATCACTGTTTTTTCTGTTCTGTTCTTTTTCTTCTTCTTTTATGAAAATCGCGCTCTTCTGAAATAATAATAATAATAATAATAATAATAATAATTATTATTATTATTATTATTATTATTATTATTATTAACGCCGATATTTTATACACATCAGTGATTTGGGGGCTAAAATCCAATGATATAAAACTAAGGTCAAACAAGATAGCAATCAAATGATTAGCATTCGAAATTCAAAACATCTTTGGTCATACTTGAGTCATACTTAAATCATATTTGAGTCATACTTCTCACATTTGAGTCGAATTTATAAAATCTGTTATAAAAAAGTTATAAAATCTGATAAATGTTGTGGTTCTGAAGCCGTTGACAGAAATGTCAGACTTCTTTACTGCAAGTAAATACCATTTTTATTGTTACAATTTCAATAACTTTTACTATTTAATTGCAGAAATGTAATGGTTAAAGTTCCGTGAATCATTGTTAGTTTGTTTGAATATTCACGGAATGCTTCGAAATTGTGATCTTGAGCCGGGCTCAGCTAAGGTTAATAAATATCTTCTGCATTTAACTGATTTTGTGTAAGTTGCGAAAATTTGGTTATGAGAATTGAATTTAGAATATCCGTAGTAAGTATCAAAGTTGCTTTAGCGTTTCCCCCCCCCACAAAAAAAAAACTCAGTCCATTCGGATTGTAAGTGTAGCTTTTCAAACTCAGTTTTAGTTTGTTATATACAGGATATGATGGGTAAATAGTCGTCATTTTATGTTTTTAATTTCGCGTATGCGCTTTGTTTGTTTTTTATTTTGTCAACTCCATAGTATAGTAGGGTCAGTTGGGCACCGTCTGTGAAAAAAAAGCACCATGACGCAATTCGCTCGCCAAAAAGTTGGAAATGGTATGCTGTACTGCTTGGCATTTCTGTCGGAAGCTCCAATACGAACATTTCAGAGTGTTTGGGTGCCAATCTTAGGACAGTGCAGAGGATTCGGAAAGAGGTGGTTGAATCTAATAGTGATTACGAAGGTATGCCAGTTTGGAAAAACTCACTGATCGTTCTGATAAGCAAAGAACTCCGAATTTCTTGGTGATAGCCCTCAGACTCAACACGAAGGCCTACATCATTTGCCTTGAGGATGTTGTGCTGCCCTGGGCCAAGAGGGTGGCCGCTGGAAGATCCTATGTCTGGCAACAGGACTCTGCACCATGCCACACAAGCAGGAACCCAGACATGACTGTCAGAGAATTTCTGCAACCATATCACCCCACCTAACTCCTCAGACTGCAATCCCCTTTTATTATTATGTGTGGGGCGCACTTGACAAGAGACCATCAAGACTCCTTGTAACACCAATGATGAACTGAAGGCAAGGATTATAGCAGAATTCATCAACTTAAACAAGAAGACCGTCCAGAAGAGATGCAGGAGATTCTGAAGTCGTCTAGTGGCCATGGTTGAAGCCAATGGCAATTTCAGTCTTTTGTATTTCAAGATATATTTGTGTAATTTTAGTAAATATATCTGTTAAAATGAGATGTCAGTGTTATTTTCACTTTTGGGTAATTTAGACGACAATTTATCTATCGAAGCCTGTACACGTCATGCACTAGTAATTTTGTTATTTTTATTATTTTACTTCTCTGACATCATTTGATACTTGGCCAATACAGTCACGATAAACAGAATGAGATGATCGATAATGCTTATCACTGATGATACAGAGCTTCTTTTTATTTTATTATGTCCTGAAAATACTTGAAAATAAAACTAAAAGTTTTTCTACCTGAAATGAAAGTGAGAGTTTTTTTCAGAGTTGATCAATTGAGTAAACCAAAGATGACAACTAATTTGGTTGTTATTGTTTTCTCTAAGAGATAAAAACACATGAAAAATATTGCTGCTTTGATAAGTCAGATCAGAATCATAATTGATAAAGATTTGTCAAGAAAGTTTTGGGACAGCATTTTTAAGTGAACAGACAAGAAAATGGATGGATTTTATTTTGTGATCATTTTCTTCAATTGTTTTGAAAAGACTTCTAACATTGTCGTTGGTATGTCATAGCACTAGATTAATCATGCATCACACGAAGATCATTCTTGGATGTAAAAGAAACATTCGTCATCGTGTCTGGGATCTGTGTGAGTGCTGTGATAGCGTTAAGTCAAAATATTAGAAATA